CTCCCTTCAGTCCCCTCTCCATCAAATGTCAGAGTTGTTCAGCAATGAGATGATAGTCCCTATTTTTGCCTCTTACTTATACTATCTCAAGTGATTAGAGCTGGTTACTCTCAGCTTGGCATACTGTCCCAATTGACCATCTCAACCTACCAACTTGATAGAAATTAACAATTGAAAAGTGGTAACTTTTAAACAAATACGGACTAATACAACAGTAATAATCATGTGGTATTTATTAGAAAAGAAAAAATTACAGGCAGAAGATACTTGAATAGAATAAGAAAGACCAGACTAGAATAAGAAAGGAAGCTACTGGAATTACTGTTCTAAGGCCCTTATATTGCCCTAGAAGAAAATACAGATATTGTCTAACTTTGGGTTTTGCTAAGTTAAATCTGAATGCTGAGTTTTCTAAGATAACTCCCCAACATAGAGATAGATGTAAAACAATAAAACCACCCTACCCAACAAATAGAATGAGAAAAGCAGGCTCGACAAATTTGGTATGTTCAATGACCACAATGCCATTAATCAACTTTTTAAAAAATCTCCTAAGTTTGGAAAATAAGACATCACCTGATGAAATTAATAAATGACTGCTAAATAATCTATAGGACACAGAAGAAATCATGATTAAAATGAAAACAGTTACAATGAATAACAGCACAAAAAAATCTCCATATGAAAACTTGTGGAATCCAAATAAACAACTTATTAGAGACAAATTTACAGTTATAAATACTAAAAATAAAAAGGCTAAAAAAATTGCCTAATTCAATTTAAGAAGGAAAAAAAATAGCAAGGAGGGAAAGGGTTAGGTAGGAAATACAGAAACTTCCCATTGTGCCTCAGGTGGTAACGTTCCTATCCTGTCTTCACAATAGGAGACAAGGGGCCATAAATGGAAACTTGGTTTGGAAGGCACCACTCGGTGACCCACACATGTAATAATCCCTACAATAGTGGCCCTCAAGACACACAAGGAAATATTTTGACTCACTAATATAGATCATGCAGTTTATAAAATGGTATCTTCCAATTCAACCCAAAAGACAGTAATTCCCTGGGTCCTGCTGGATTGACAAAGCACATCCTGATTTTTCCACCACATGGTAGTAGATGAAATGACCACCATATTTAGTCTAGGGCTAATTCTGCCCCAATACTGTGGCTCAGTACTTCTGAATATTCAATGCCTCCTGAATTATGAGGTTTTCTACTAAGAGTGGCAGAGCAAGTGCCACTTTTGTCTTTGTGTGAGTTCCTAGCATTGTTCCTTCCATTACTTCCAGTTGGGTCTTCCCCCCAGCCTGTTAGTTTCCTAAAAAGCACACACTGATCAGTAGGTAGCTGAAGATGTGAGAGGAGGTGGGAAGAGCTTCTGCAGCTCTCTGGTGTTCTCTCCCTGGGCATCTCTCACCTCTCCGAGACCATGCCCTGTGAACTCAGCTGCCTTGACTTCAGTGGGTAGATTCCTCTCCTCAATTCATGATGCACTCTGCAGGGCTCACTCATTTATCTTCTGTTGCTGGGGCACCATTGCCTTTCATTTCCTGATGCCTGGTATTTACAAAATTGTTTCATATATTTTCTTTGGATTTGTAATTGTTTCATGCATAAACCTGTGTGGTGGTTCTTGCTTGGTAGGGGTTGATGTCAGGTCACTAATATTTGTCTAATACCTACACCCATGTTCCTTTTCCAATTCATGGCATCTATAAATTATCAGAATCTAAGGGTACTCTGTGGTTACTATGGTAATAATTCTTTAATTTCAGGGGTTATTTTCTAGAAAGACTATATACATACTCCTGGACTTATGATAAGGTTACATTCCAATAAACTTAACCAGACCTGTAATTCCAGCACGCTGGAAGGTCAACCAAGAAGACCACAAGTTTGAATCTATCCTGGGAAATTTGGAAACTTAGCAAGACCTTGTTTCAAGGAAAAAAACCAGGAGGCTATGTAGCTCAGTGTGAAGGCCCTGGGATCGATCCCAGTAGTGCAAAATGAAAAAAAAAAGATTACATCTCAATAAACTTGTTCACTGTACGTTGAGAATATGAGTCAAAATGCATTTAGTACATCTAAGCTATGAAATGCCACACCTTAACAACACTGTACATCCTAGGTATTGGCTATTTATCCTCATGATCATGTGGCTGATACACTTCTACTGCCCAGCACCGAGAAATATGAGAAAGACTATCATATTACATAACACCAGCCTGAGAAAAGATCAGTGCTCAAAGTATAATTTCTACAGGATGCATCTTGCTTTTATGCCATTGTCAAGTCAAAAAAATCAAGTTGAACTTTCATAAATTGGGAGACCATATGCATCCAATTTTATATTTAATTCTAAAACTTGTAGTAGACTGACTGGTTGCCTCTTTTGTGCTCCCAAAGAGGGCCCTTTTTGTGTCCTAAAGGACTCCATATCTTCTGTTTTCTTCATAAATAGCAGAGAGCAACCTCACTCCTGAGCTCCAGCGCTGAGCAAGGGGTGCCTCGGAGAAGCACCTTTACAGCCCTACAGAAGTGCCATTTCACCTTCTGTGCCCCTACAAGCCACTCTGTACTCATTCAAATGCTTTAAGCCTCAGGGCAACTGTAAAAGAGAAACAACTATCACAAAATTGTGTTCTAGTCTGCTGAGAAGATTGCCCTTTTCTCCCCTACATACTTCCTCCTGGGTCATGGCACCCACTTAATTTCATTGGAAAGCTAGACCTTTTCTCTGTCCCAGCCTTTGGCACAGGGGGATTTAGATAGGTTTAATGTAGGATTGCCAGTACCCAGAGCCATTTCTAGGTGGCTCTGAAGAAATGAATCTGACTCTATCCCTTTGCCTTTCCCCATAAAGTTGTCTTGTTTCTCTGACCAAAAAAATCATTATATGGAGCCAAATGATAGCAGAAAAGATTAATTTACCACCTGCATCCCTTTATGGTTTCCTGACTGCAGGGACTGGTTGGGGGGACAATGTAAATAGTCACAGGTTCGAGGGATATTGAGGACTGAGTTTATCATAACACTAAGAGTAGGAAAGGCACAATGAGTATGTGGGAGTTGCAAAAAGAAAAAAAGAGAAGAAGAAAAAATATGGAGAAAAGGTCTGTGAGGTTGTTTTCCTCATCACGGCTCTACCTGAACAATATAATTACTAAAGTCCACTAGTGGCCTTGAAGCCCAGCCCATGTTATGGATTGACCATAGCAATAGGCATTTTTAAATACAATTCTCTCATTTTCCATAAATTGTTGTAAAAGGAACTGTTCATCTGCTAAGAAATGGCGTATCATCTAAGTGGCAGCCTGTTTGCTAAATACGCAACTGCTTTCCAATTTGACTTTAGGGTCAAGTTGCTTTTCTGATTCATCTGGCTGAGTAGATTTAAGTGCAAATTGAGAAGAGAATCCCATTTCAATATTGTATAATATGAAAAGCATGAATCCTGGAACAGAAAAAGGAGAGGATTAGAGGGAAAGGAGGTCAATTGCTGATTTGCCCTTGGCGTTGTTAAGATATGGTTTTTGAGAGTTCTAGAGTGTGTGTGTGTGTGTGTGTGTGTGTGTGTGTGTGTGAATGATTTGGAGTTTGAGTTCCTCAGAGTGTTCCACCTTCCTCACAATAATTACACTAATGACACCAAGACTGTTTTGAAAATTCTCATGAGTCTACACTGCATACATTACATTGCCACTCGGTCCTATTTGCTCACTATGCTCCTTTCATAATAATTTGAGATGCTTCCCATTTACCTTGAGTAAATATCAAACACATCTTGATATCTATATCTGTCTCATGAAATATACATCTTCTCTAATGGTGCCCAAATGATTAATTTACAGCTATGTGATGATTAGCATAAAAATCTCATCATGACACGAAATAGAAATGTTATCACTAATTGCCATTCGAAGTGAAGAATGTTTGCTGCATAGAAATTAATGATGCATGCTTACTTCTCAATTCTCCATTAAACCAGAAAAACCCAGACTACTTTTGGAGCAGAAAGAAATTACCTTTGAAGTTTGTTTTTTATATATTTTTTTCCTCTCCCTTAGATGCTCCACAATTAATTGAGAAGAAGGGTGGGAGGCAATTGTTAATGAGGTTTAGACAGATGAACTCAGTTCTCATCAAATCAGATCTTCCAATCGATTGGTTGCTCAACTGCAGGCCAAGACCTTTTCCCTGGACATTAGAGCCTCCTGGTAGCCTTGAAATTAGACAGATAAACATTCATACATTTGCAGCATATCCTAAGAATATTCATATTTTAATATTATTAGTGGTCATTCTGAGTCTGCACAACCAGCTACACAATTATCTACAAGTTTGATGGTAGCTCATAAAGCTTTGCTTTATTTAAAAAACATTTAACTGTGCTTTGAATCTTGATAAAGTCAAGTCCTGGTCCAATTTGTTCTCTTAGTTTTAAGTATCAACTCACCTAACCAGCCCAGGAATTTCCCCAAGATAAGCTTGTTTTTGAGTCAACTTGACCATGACCATCCAAATAGTCACCTGCATTGTCACTAATGCCAGCCCTGAGCCAATTCTGCTGCTAAGTACCTTACATGCATTTTCTCAGTGAATCTGTACCCAATGCAATGAGGTAGATCCTATTTTGATGCCCATTTTAGTAATGAAAAGACCTAAGTATACAGCTCATATGTAACTTTTCTACAGAACTGATAAAATACGACTGAAATCTAGAAAATTCACATCCAAATATCCTCCTCAGACAAACGTAAGTTCTCTGGATAGTGGCTTGTCTAGTCTTTACTGTATGAATAAATTATCTTTAACTGCTGCCATTTCCATTTCATTGAATAGAAAACTGGATATGAACATTATCACACTTTGGCCAAGGAAAGAGAGGCCCTGGCCTATCCCCCCACCCCAGCCCTGTTTCAGAGGGACCCACATATTATGAAAACATATCAGTAATAAATGTGTTGATGGACTCATGGGTGCTTCTGTTACAGGGCTGGCACTGGGAGCCAGCACAGTGTGACTCCTGACTCGTCACCCACATTCAGACTCAGAAAACAGGTGACATCTCAGGTCCTGCTTTTGAGAGAAGACTGTCCGAATGCTGAGAAGATACACACTGTTTCAGAGTGGGAAGAAGATTTAAGGAACAAAAGTACTCAAGAAGAAAAGGTAAATTCATTAAGTTGTCAAATCTTTCCTCTCCAAGAGCATGACAGCAATAGAACCTTGCATAATGAGGTATCGTTGCCCGATGGAGTGAAGCATCTTCTATTTGCTTGGTGCACATTGAGTTCTAATTTGTGGTTCCAAAGGTATTCATGAGCTAGCATGGTATTCAAAACAGTTGTACATGGAGGTGTTTTGCATTATTTAATATTTCCATATTAAATAACTTGTATTCCTTATAAATTTGAGTATGTTAGTCTTAGGCATTATACTTCAGAAATGTAATATTCGTAACTTACTTTGGCAACTAGATGAACATGTCATATTAGAAATGCAAATAGTTTTATTTTATAAAGTTAATAATATTCAACAAACATTTTCAAATGTAAGTAATAAATGTGTGCTTTATTTGACTATTTTTATTTTAAAACAGGATGACTATTAATTACCAACAGGTAATGGTTAAATTATTTTTTAAAACCACTTGACTGTATATTTGTGGGATTATTTGGGGGGGATTTCTAGTCCCTTTCCATTGATCTATGTCTGTCTTTATACTTTTTTTTTTTTTTTGGTACTGGGGATCGAACTTGGGTCCTTAAGCTTGCGAGGCAGGTGGCAGAACCACTGAGCTAAGTCCTCGGCCCCTGTCTGTCTTTATACTAAGCTATACTATTTTGATCACCATAGCTTTACAGTAAGGTTTGAAATCAGGAAATGTGACACCTCTGACTTTGTTATTTTTCAAGATTATTTTAGTTATTTGGAATTCATTGGGATTCCATATGAATTTTAGGATGAATTTATCTTTTGCTGCAAAGAATACCGGTGGAGTTAGGCATCGTGGTGCAAGCCTCTAATCCTTCCACTCTGGTAGGCTGAAGTGGGGGGATCTCAAGTCTGGGCCCAGCCAGGGCAACTTAACAAGTTAGAGGGACTCTGTACTGAAAAGTGAAAATAAATAAATAGGTAAAGGTTAGGCCCATAGCTCAGCGTGAAGGCTCTGGCTCAATCTCCAGTACCACACACACATACACGCACACAATAAAATAAAAGTTTTAAAAAACTTATCCCACCATTGGGATAGGAATGGCATTAACTCTAGATCTCTTTGGGTAAAATTGACATCTTAACAGTAGTAAGTCTTCAATTCGTGAATAAAGGATGTCTTTCCATTTATTTGTGTCTTCTTTAATTTCTTTCAGTACTATTTTATCATTTTCAGCACACAAGTCTTTAACTTCCTTGGTTAAGTCTATTTCTAAGTATTTTTTTCTTTTTCATGCCATGATAATTGGAATTTTTTCCTTAATTTCCTTTTCAGATGTTCACTGTTAGTGTGCAGAAATGCAAATAATTCTTGTATGTTGATTTGTACTTTTCAACCTTGCTGAATTCATTTGTTAGTTCTAACAGTTGTTTTTCTGGAATTTTTAGGGTTTTCTACAATAAGATCATGTCATCTGTGACTAGAGATCATTTTACTTCTTCCTTTCCAATTTGGATGCATTTTATTTCTTTTTCTTGACTAATTTCTCTGGCTTCCATAGCTAATTTTGAATATTTTAGAAGAAAGACAACTTTTGAGAACATGTATAAAGTATTTTTACTTTACTTCAATATACACTCTTATTAAACACATTCAAATGTTCTATATTTGAATAAAATGCATTTTTAATCCTTCAAAATATCATTTTCAACATAATACAAATGTGTAGAAGAAATTCATGATTCTGTTGAAGAGGAGAAAAATTAATTTTATGGGATATACATAATAAGTTGTGAATTATCTATATGGTTATCATTTTTTCAGGCATTGCTGGTCCATCAATAGAACACCTAGGCGTGGACAACAATAATTACATGCAACTATCTTTGATGCTTTTCTGACTTTCATTAATTATGAACATATATTTGACAAGGCAATGCGCTAAAAGATACATAGTTTAACACCTCATTCATTTTCCTTTATAACTTTTAAATATTTAAGTATATTTAAATTATATCAAGGCTATCAGAAACAGGCAGCCTGGTCTAGTCTGTGCCTCAATCCTCTCCCTGCACAGACGTGAGGGGCAAGCTTGGATTTGAACACAAGTTATACTTTGATGAAATAACCCACTCCTTGCTTTGGAGCCAGAATCCTTACATATTATAACCCAGTCTATGTACTCTGCTGCTTGGAGCCCTCAGTAGCTGCCCTTTGCACTTGGAATAAAGCTCATAATATGGAAAAACCTGCACATTCTAACCCTGCCTCCCAACCAGACTCAGTTTACATTGTTCCCCTCTTTACTCTGGCCACATTGGCATTTTTCTAGTTCTTCCAACATATCCCCTCTTTCTCTGAGACCATTGCATATCTGGTTTCCTCTCCTTGTGTTATTCTTCTCCTTATCTTCTTCTTTCTCTAATTAACTCCTGCCCATCAATCAGACTCATCTCCCAGGTTCCTTCCTCCAGGAATCCCCCTTTGAATCTTTGGACTTGATAGATCTCAAGCAGAAATAATTACTATGATTGTCATGAATAAAAGCTAACATTTACTGAGTATTTGCTATCCAGCAGTCAAGGAAGTAAGCACTTCATCATATGTATTAACTTTTTGAATTCTCACAAAAGCCTTCCTTCTAACTTTATAAATAATCAAGTCAAAACTTATACAAGTCAAGTCACTTGCCCATGGTCATATTGTTAATTAGAGGTAGCCCCATGATTTTAATCAAGACTATGTAACTCCTGGGACTGTATATTTAGCCACAATGCCATATTTATTTCCCCTGTTAAGGATCCTCATTCACTCATCCTATGTGTTCTTTAAGTTTCTACTGCAAGTGCTGGGGGTATGCATGGCAGTCAGCAGCAAGATAGATAAGCGTCCTGCTCTCAATGAACTTTTTTCTCGATGGGTAGAGAGAGACCCTGAAAAACAACAAACAAATAAGATATTCCTGTGATAGAACTGAACAGGTTCTATGATAGAGAGCAACTAGGGAAAGTCTACTATTGACTGGATGGACATAGATGTCCTCTCTAAAGACAGGCCCTTTGACCTGAGTCCTGAAAGATGATGAGGAAGAGAGAGATAATTTGCACTGGCCACAGAGGTCCTACATTTTAGCTAGAGTAAGGACTCCCACCCAACTTTGTAATTAGACACAGCCATGCGACTAAATTCTGGCTAACCAGCCTCCAGTTATGATTGGAATTGGCATAAGCAACTTCTAAAACGTCTCTTTAAGGGGAGTTAGGGAGATGAGAATGCTTTCTTCCTCCCTATCCTCTTTCCAGCTAGAAAGAAGTAGCATCATCAAGAGATTTGGACCATGATGTGAACTTAAAATGTCACATGGCAGAAAAGTAGATGGGAAGGGGTCTGGGTCCCTGGTTCTGGAGTACCATGCCAGACCTTCACTGACCACCTCAAGCTGAATGGAGCATGCTTCCTCCTGAAGGGTGACTGCCCTTCTTTATTCTTCTGAAAATTTAATGCTGTTCCTTGTGAAGTATAGATCTGCAAGCTTTTGGTCACATTTGGTGATTAATAAAACATCCTCAGGAAGTCACTACACCTCTTTTGGCTGCATCCAACTCCCAATCATAGGAAGTGGTTGGTTTCCCTTTCACTCATGTCTTTAGAAGGCCATGGGAAGGTGTCTGGCAGACTGGAAGGGCTACTACTTGCTTGATCAGATGGCACCCACCTGACTGACAAAGTTTAAAAGTGCCACCCTGCAGATCTCCGAGAAACATCTGCGTGACACATTAGTGATATCACAAACAAGTTCAAATGCTCAGATAAAGCTTTTGATATTCCCGATCTGTGCACTTCCAAATGGTGGCTGAACAAACAGGAATCGATCTTCTTTGAAACTCTTCAAAGTGGTGACATTGCCTAGACCAGTTTGTTGTTTGTTCTCTTATTTCCAAAGTTCAGGGGAGGCTTTCTGTTGGTTCATCTCTCCAGAGACACTTCTCTTCTAGGCACCTTTTTCTAGGAAATTTAAATCCATAATTTATCTGTTTGATAGACAAGTTTGAACCCCTATAGAGACTTGGCTGACTTTTTAAAGGAGCAATAATGATTATTTTTGAAACAGTTGTATAAACATTCTATTAGGAAATGGCAAATAGAACTTACCATCATGCCTGTAAATGATTAAGGGCAGGAACTGGTTTTCCTACCAACATATCTAAAGCTCATGAAGTATGCGTCATTGTCAGTATGTCAGGATATTCTGAGACTGTTACTTTCTCATTTGTGTGAACTAGAGTTTGGTCATGTTGTACGCAGAATATAATTGGTACCTGTTTTTCAACCATTTTTAACTAAGTAGTCATGCCTTGGGGTGACACTATGTGGAAAATACCATGGAAACTACCTTGTGAGGTGATGAGCTACGAAGCTAAAGCTTTGGGGTCTTTTCTGTCGCGATCACCCCCTTAATCAAAACTCTATACGTAACTGACCAAAATACATTTAAATGACCTTCAGCAAAAAGAATGTAATGGAAAAACACCGAGTGAACACAGGGACTCAAGGTTTTGGACACAGCAAGATTTCAGGAATTGAGCCAGGGATTGATGCCTGCTTAGCCATGCTTCCCAACCTTCTTCACCCCAAATATTACATAAACTGTATTTCTGTGGCCCATGGGGGTAAAATAATGAGGCTGCTCTCTGCAATCAAAAGTGCTTCACTCCCTGGCATACTGATCAGCCACCCAGAGCAAGCCTTTTATTCTTCCAGTTCTCAAGTTCTTAGGAGACAGTCAGAGCCACTATTTATTGAGTTCCTTCCTGAGTATGGCAATCATTGTTCTAAGCACTGTGTGTGCATTTCATTCCCTCTTCAAATTCTCACACCATCCTCTATGTCAGGTATTATATTTTCTCACTTTATAGATCAGAAAACCCAGTTGTTCAGGGCTACTCAATTTGTGTGAGGTGCTGGGGCCCATGGTGGAGGCAGCAGTTGAATCCAGTTTGGCTTCAGTTTACCC